TTGGCTTATTTCCTCGTCCTTGGCCCCCTAGTGCAGATACCTCTGATGGTAGCCAGTTTTCCAAAGTTATTGAATATTTCCGTCTGGCTGGTCGGACAATGGCAAAAGCTCTACAAGATGGACGACTTCTGGACTTGCCACTTTCGACAGCATTTTACAAACTTGTGATGGGCCAAGTAAGTCATTGTAAAGAATTCTATTTCCATTCTGTCAATGTTCAGATCTCATCCATCGGTTTGATTATAATTTATAACAGATGAAAGTTATTTATTGATATAGGAGCTTGAATTACATGATATACTCTTATTCGATGCCGAGTTTGGAAAGATATTGCAAGAGATGCAAGCCCTTGTTGGCCACAAACAATTTCTAGAGAGAAATCCTGGTAACAATCAAATGGCAATTGCAGATTTACGTTTTCGTGGTGCCCCAATTGATGACCTCTGCTTAGATTTCACTCTTCCTGGCTACCCTGATTACATTCTTAAAGGAGGAGGGGAAAATATCATGGTAACAACTCAACATTGGTGTTCATATTGTTACTTTCTTCACCATTTTGTCTTTGATGAATTATTAATTATTGCTGCTTCTAGGTTGATATCAACAATTTGGAAGAGTATGTTACTCTAGTTGTTGATGCAACAATTAAGACAGGAATTAAGCAACAGATGGAGGCATTTAGAGCTGGGTTCAACCAGGTACTAACTTCCTAATTGTTTTCCAGGTTTTTTCATCTTCAATTCATTAGGATTATCTCTTGTTGAGTATATCCAAGTCCCATCTCGTGCCGACCAATGGTGTCGTTCCTGATACATATTGGTCGATACCGGTGTATCGTATGTTGATACGTCAATATGTACCAACAAACTAAAAAAAGCCTAAAAACCTAAAAAAATCTGAAAAATAAAAACCCTATTTTAAGCCTTTTAATTATAATTTAATATAATTTAAATTAAATTTAATATGACTAAAGTTGAAATAAGGATTAGATGGTGAATTTATCTTTTTTTGACATTGGGTAGTAATTTTGCCACTTCTCCGTTTCTTTTAATCATGTTGAATCATCTACAAAGATATCAGTAATGCTAGATTACATATTGAAGCTTAAAAATTTTAACAAATTAAGTAACAAAGAAAGCAAATTATATATAGTTGCTTCTACCACCAAAATTAATGACATGACTCCACAACCGGTGAATCAGATTCTTGGACAATATGAATTTGTATATCATTATGGTACATATTGTCAAGACTTAGTTAGAATTACTTAAGTCATGAGGTACTCTTATTTTAATTGTCCGCAAAGAGTAAGTCTAGATACAACTTCGCTTAGGTTTTGAAGGACCTTTAAAAGTGCAATGGACAAGTCCACGAACTTGTGACTTTACAAACATTTCAACAAACACTTAGTGTGCAAGAGAGAAGAGAGAAAGGGCTTTATAAGGCAAATAAACAATTGTAAGTCCACAAACGATTGCTTATTGGGTGTCGGAGCGTTGGCAAGTTTCTGTAGGCATTAGGTGCGAACTTGTGAATCCAATCAACGCCCAATACTACCTCAAATCCTCATCCAGTCTTGTCACACCCTAGTGGTTCAAAGGTGTTAAGATGGTTGCCATTTTGCATTGCACTGCAGCTTGTAGAAAACAAGTCATGACACGTGAAAATTGAGCCATTTTGGTGTAGTTTTGCCCATTCTAATGAGCGATCGTTTTATAGTTTTGTAAATTATTCTTGCTTCTAATTTTTAAGCAAAAACACATAAAAACAACGTAAACGAATGTACATGCAAACAAAAGCGACAAACAATTTCTTACTGAAGGTGTTATGAGTGCATGATAGTCACCCGTGACATTCTCCCCACTTGAGTTGTTAATACCCTTGTCGACGCTTGCTGGTACGCTTTGATGATTGCATCTTCATGTCTTGGGGCGTCTTTAGGCTCATAACTGGCTTTTGTCCGAGGAAGCTTTCTTCACTTCACTAAGTACTCGATCTGCTCTGTTCTGTTGGGTAGCTTTGTCTTGCAATTTGCTAAAATGGTTTCAACTCGCTTTTTATAGGAGGCTCTAGTGGGGGTATCTGAGTTTAAATATTTCGGGAAGCATCTTGTGGATTTAAGTTGTTGGCTTTCAAGTTGCTCTCATGGAAGACCTTATGAGTTTTGATTCACGTCAACAGTTGCAACTTGTAGGAGACATTGTTTACCCTGCAAATAATTGGGAGGGGCCTTTTATACTTGTGCACTAATCCTTTGTGCACTTTATGCCTAAAGAACTAGAGTGATGTTGGTTGGAGCTTCACCAACACCAAGTTTTTGACTTTAAAATCCTATGGTCGCCTTCCCATCTCTGCCCACTTCATCTTTTTGGTTGCCTTTTACAAGTATGCCTGTGCAATATTTGCATTTCGGTGCCAGTCCTTTGCAAAGTGATATGTTGACAAGCTACTTTCGATATAATCGATCATTAATGTGTGAGAAGTTGACGGTTGTTGTCTAGTAATGATCTCGAAAGGGCTCTTCACATAGTCTTGGATGAAAGTGTTCTGGCGGAGTTGTCTCAGATTACTTTGTGCCACAAACTCAGTGTTCTCAAGTAGGAACTAAGTTCTCAATTGTTGCTTCAGGTCCTCCTATGTGTCCACTCGACACTGACCTTGTTGGATTTCTTTCTGTTGTGTTGTTTGCTACAAGAGTTTTGCATCCTTATTTAGAAACATGCTTACTCTCGAAACTCTAGTGTCTTCTGAGTTAGGCCTTGTCGCTCGAAAGTATTACTTCATGCCGAACAAAAAGTTATCGAGTTTTTTCATGTCCTTGTCTCCACCGTGGCAATGTGTCCCGGGTGCCCTCAAGTTTTGTGGCGGAGCAATATAGGTGTTGTCCCCCTTTCATGAAGAGCTCTTATGAGTAGCGTAATATTTGTCGTGAGGTTCGCCACATCTCGTTGGTTTTGCACGTACTATTCGGTGTCTTCCATCAATCTCTCAACTCGGGACTCGACCTTGTTGATTCGTGATTTCGCCTCCGCTTACGAGTTTTCTATATCAAGTAGCCTTTATTGGCTTGGATAGAGTTCTTTTAAACTCGCTTCGAGGAGATCAAGGTAAATGTTCCAGTTGGCGCTCCAGATTGGGCTTCGTTTGCTCGTGGAGAATAGCCAACTTCTCTCGCTTGTCATTCTTGCTAATGTGCTCCTCTTGAGCGGCTCCAATAACTTGAGAGCGAGTTTGCACTTGTAGCCCGGCAATGAATTTTCCAATATCTCACTTCTTTTCCTTTGTGTATATTTTGTCAGTCCTTGTGGGGGATAAGCCTAAGGAACATGAGAGCTGTTGGATGAATTGTTGGGGTCATGTTCAAGGATTTTGATGCTGATTATGGCCAGTAATAGGTTCAGTCTGGGTTAAGCCGCATTTATGTTCGATCCATTGCGAATCCACACAAAAATTGAGCTTAAATTTGAAATTTGTGTTAGGCGCTTCCTGGCCTTGATATCTTTCAAGACTTACACTAAAAAAGAACTGAAGTTCAAGCTATATTTATGTTGAATTCATTGTAAATTTTATACTGTATCCCCAAACGCTAAATGTGCTCAAGTTTGAGGACTTGGGTTATGGTAGTTCATGGCTTTAACATATTGTTAAACCTTATTTGAAGTTAAACCCAGTTCCATGCGTTCAATTGTCAGGACAAGAAGTTGGTTAGCGGATTATAGGTGGCTATTGATAACTATTGTTAGTTGACAATTCAGTGAAGAGACTAGGATGGATGTGGGAATCCTGTTGGCTCTTTTTCCTGTTTCTAAGATCGAGGAGTTTCCATGTTTCATCACTGTGTTCTATTTAACTTGGTTTTTCTTTGTTTTATGCAAATAGTCACTGAAGACTTATTTCAAAGTGAGTCAATGCTGAAGAAGAATTTCCTGATATCTTTTTGTACTTTCTCAAAATGTTAGTATATTGAAAACAAATTTTCAATCACAAGCCCTTGACATATATTGAGTTCTCTCTTTAGAATATTGTCACTGTTTTTAGATTTGTCCCCTTTCGGCACCATGTAGCATTTGTTTCTATGGTTTGTTTATATTGAATCATACTTATTACGTTCGATTAACCTAATTTTTTAGGTCTTTGACATATACTCTTTGCAAATATTTTCACCACATGAACTTGACAACCTAATCTGCGGACTTAGAGAACTGTGGGAGGTAAATTATTTGTATTATCGATTTACTTCGAATTAATTTCCTCTAAGGTAATTAGAATAACAATTTTTAGATCCTGCAGCCCGAGACTCTGGTTGATCATATAAAGTTTGATCATGGGTACACTGCCAAGAGTCCTGCAATTACTTATGTAAGTTCATTCTCCCAGTGCCAGAAACAGTTGAAATATATGACAGTTTCCTTCAATTGGTACTTAGCATGGTTATTTATTTTCTTAAGTTGCTAGAGATAATGGGAGAATTCACACCAGAGCAGCAGCATGCTTTTTGCCAGTTTGTGACTGGTGCTCCGAGGCTTCCACCTGGTGGTCTAGCTGCACTGAACCCAAAGTTGACCATAGTTAGGAAGGTACCTTTTATATTCATATAGGTGAATTATTGAAACATACTGGTGCTTTTTATGTTTTACATTCTAACTTGTTTCTCTATGGATCATTGCATATAATTTCGCGGTGGCAGCACTCGACTCCGGCAAACGCTGCAAATGAAAATGGGGTGCCTGAATCAGTTGATGATGACTTGCCTAGTGTGATGACCTGTGCAAACTACCTTAAACTCCCTCCTTACTCGACCAAGGTTCTTTTTCGTCTTCCGTGTAGTTCTTGAAGTTTGAAATATTTTTCTTGTTTGCTATTCCACTGATGAAATACTTTCTGCAGGAAATAATGTACAAAAAACTCCTTTATGCTATCAGGGAAGGCCAGGGATCATTCGATCTCTCATAGGCTTCCTAGATATGCAGCAGCATCATGGTGGAGTCTGCTTGCTGCTCATTTTGCCCAATGTCATGCCAGATCTATTTTCTGGTGGAGTTAAATCATATTTTTATTTTTTAGCCTTTTGATATTTGTATATTCTCATCTATAGTCGTAATTATCCAACAAATGCTACTCTTGTTTCTTTAGTTCTATTACTATTTTGTTCTCTCAAAGTACCTACCTACCTAGTTTCACGCAACCATCACCAATTCTGTGCTTCAAGAAAGAATGCAACCAATGCGTGTAAATAAAGGTATCTGGTTTCTTTTAAATGTAGTGGTTTCAAAATGGTAATTAAATTTGCATTTCATATTATGCGAGACCTTAACATATTGTGGTGCCTAGTTCAAGATACTTGTTTAGATCTGAATTTATAGCTAGTGATGAAGTGGACTGAATTCTTGAATGTTAAAAATGTTACTAATGTTGAGATGCATTGTTTGGTGGACTCAATGAGAATGCCTCATTTTGTTTTCCCTAGAAATGAACACCTTTTTTTTTTGTTAATGATAATCTTAATTTTATAATATTGAATATTTTATATATACATGTATTCTGATATGAGAAATTTCTCCTGGAATTTGGTTGCAGCCGTGGTCCCGAGAAAGCCAGTTCAAGAGGAGCGTGACATTTGTGATGGTGGGTCATGGTGTCGGGACGGAGTAAATGTGCTTTCTTGCATGATAGGCAACTTGAACGGTGACTCGAACGACGTCGAGTTAGAGCTGCTTGTCCACGCATGTATGGTTGGAATGTCGATCGGATCAGTTGGAGATTTGAGGTAGAGAACATTTTATTTGACATGATGTCAAAACCTTAGTGGACAAGGATGCTAGCGGGGGTCGTTAGCGACGATATCTCTTAGCAGTGGTACAAAACCTTAGTGGCACTCTCGAATAGGATGGGATGGGATGCAAGGAGGCATTGAGAGTTGGGAAGCCAATAATAAAGGAATTACAAGTTCGTTTCGTTGCAAATAGAGACTTCTCCACTAGAGTATGCTAAGCAGTTTCATATTACATGGATATGTTAGCACATTCCCATGCGGCCTTAGCCTCTGCTTCCAACCCCGACCACTTTCGCGCTTCATCTATCTGCTCGATGAAATGTTTTGGGTCACCGGAAGCATCCCCAAGGCCGCTGCAGCACGTGAATTACACATGAAAGCACAGGTGGGCTTGACGTTAAGAACCTTAAGCCGGGTACCGTCGACGTCGATGTTGCATTCAGCACTGCATGCGACCACTATATGTACGTTCTAAGCGTCGCGGAGCTTACTGAGCATGTGGTAGAACCTTTCCGTGACCCCCTGTTAGGAATTAGTTTAAGCTGATCCCTAACCGTTGCTATGGTTCGTCTCACTGTTTGATGCATTAGAATGGAAGAACCAGCGAGGTTGGAACATCATGTCCCTTCGATGCATCCCAAGTCCTTGGTCGGTTTGGACATTGTCGTCTCTAACCAGATGATCTGACGACATCTGGATGCTTTCCTTAATTCCAAGCATGGCAGCAACATCTGGATGCAAGGAATGGCGTGTGATTGATGAGATAAAGCAAAAAAAGAAAACGGACGTGCATAAGCATCCTTCTGATTTCCATCTTTTGTGGTGCTCGACTCATGCCTTCGTGGACGACAATGTTCCCAAATGCAGTGCTTTGGTAGTCCCGACATTGCCATACTTCGTGGCCAGGAAACAAGAAAGCCCCACATAATTAGCAGTGGGTTCCTGAGAGGAAACAGCAACCACAGAGATGATAGGACCATCTCAACTAGCCGAAAGCTCATGTCGGCTGTCTAAAACTTGCAGCAGCAGAGAGGAAGACGTCTCAACATCGAAGCTCTCAAAAGGATCGAGATAGTGGAAGCCATGCGAAGACAAGTAGTGGACAGACAACGAGCGAAGCTTCCTTTTGAGTCTCTAAATTATGGTCGCTTGGTTTATGGTGGCTTGCACAAACCGAGACGATGAAGAAACTCCTTCTAGAGAACGTGTCTCTATGGGATGGTAGTCTGCTAATCTACATTATCACTAGGTTAGATTCCAGCAGCACTACCGGACTAATCTGCTGATGCGAATGATGAAGGAATCCAAAGACAACCGGTTCTTGAAGCAACAAAATGTAATCCGAAATGGTGGCTGGTACTTTACATGATGACGATTCTTCACAGGCAATTCTCCAATGGTTGATGGAGAGGATAAGGAATCCTCTGCTATACGAAAAGTGTCGTCCATACGAGAGTGCGAGGCATCGTGTCATAAAGCCACACGATGTAGAGAAAGAAAAAGTGTTTTGAGTGAAAATATGATTGTCCGAACATAATGAGATCTTCTTCCACATTTGTTTTTTTTATTTTTTTCGGAAAGAACTGAATCCAGAAGATATCGAATCATGTAAAACTACGTTAGGAGAGTTCTCCCAATTCTAAGCTTCCGAAAAGCAGGAAATGTGTCACCAAATCAAAGCTACAGACAACACAGAGAGTACGAGACATGTTCTTGGATTAGCTCGAAGGAATGACTTCTCCTTCACTCCCTCGAAGGAATCCACAACTTGCCTCTCTTCATCATGCCCATTTCAACGTACCCCACATCATCACATGGTTGCCCGGCTCGCAATAATATATCATGCAGCTTCCTCGAAGTGGTCAATCCTCTGTTCTCGAGAAGCGCGACGGTAGCTTTAATCGGTGACAGTTGGTGCCGGGAATCCAATCCGAATCTGCTTTTGCTTTCTCGTTTCAAATTTGGCTTTAAAGAAAGCGAGACACGAGACATGGAGGGGGCGTGGAATCGAATCAAGCATTCACGTTGTGCTATCGCACAAGTAGTGTACAGGCCATTGCGGTGGCTACAATGAATAAGGCTTGGCGCAGGAAAGGGACGGCCCTCCTCGCGGTGTTTGCGTCGCCGGTCGCCATGCTTGCAAGCCAGGAGTCGTCTTCCAGCATCAGCCCGCCGGTTGCTGTAGGCGTCGATGTCGCAGTTGTGTATGGAGTCGGGCTACTGTAGGAGTCTGTCGATGCTTTCTGACTGCTGTGCGTCGTTTTTCGGGGGAGCAACGGAAGAAATCGATCAGTTCTCTCGTGACAGTGCGAAAGTGGTTCGAGTACAAGAAAACTGGAATAATCACAAACAGGTTGTGGGCATGAACTTTCCCATGTTGTTGCCGTCATGCAAAATGGGAGTTTGGGGTGGTACCTTGGTGCTGACTCTGGGCAGAATGTGATGGTGTAGTCAGCTCCGCCGGCGCAGGTGAAGGTGCTGGTGGGATCGTCGAACGCGTAGCTGTACGACTTGGGGCACGCCGCCTTGAACATCTGCGAGTACGCCGACGGCTGGCACGTCGCCGGACTGGCGAACGCCCCGCTGCAGCAGTACTCCGGCGTCCCGAACGCCTCGCAGGCGCTCCGGCACGCCTCCCCCTCCGCGGCCCGCAGCTCCGCGGGGCACATCCGGTTCAGGTCCACGACGCACCCCGTGGCCGCGCACGCCCCCGCGCTCGCCGCCACCACCATCGGCAGGTTGTAGCCGTCCACCAGGCTGACGTCGTAGAAGTCCCGCCCCGCCGACGATGGCGCGAGGGTGAACTCCGCGAGCGTCGCGGGCGGGGCCGCGCCCGCGCCGTTGCACTCCACCTGACCGGACCCGCAGTCGCCGGTGGCACAGGACCAGGCGCCGCCGCCGCCGACGGCAGAAGCGGAGCAGCCGGTCCGCGCCCAGAACCGGCCGGACCATCCGGCGGGGGCCTGGAAGGAGCGAGACGACGCGACGGGGAGCTCAAATCCGGTGGACTCCAGCTGCGGGCTGCCGGCGTTGGACAAGATCCCCGGCCAAACCGTTTCCCCGCACTTGTTCACGAACGTGAACACACTCCCCTCCACTGCACAACACACACACACACACAACAATCTTTCATTTCGACGAACAGAACGCAGGCAACTCAACAACAACCACAAAAGAACGCGCTCATCGTTAGTACCTCCAAGAAACAGCAAGAACAGTCGGTAAACAGTCAGCAGCAGAGGAATGGCAGCTAAAGGAGGTTCCATCAGCGAAACAAAGGAGGCAGCAGGGTTCCTCGGACTGGCGGTAGACAGCAGTGAGGGAGGAGGAATGATGAAGGAGAAGAGAAAGCAGCAGCAACGGCAACAGCTCCCATGCACTGCCAGGAGGAAGATTTGGGAGGGAGAAGAGGGAAATCTAATGCTGGGTTGAGTAGGCCACTTTATAGCAGAGATCGTTGGTATTAGTTCAAACGATGTCAGGTGGTGAGTGGTTTGGTGACGGGGCTTTTACTCCCATGAGGAGTGATGCCAACCGTGTACTTAACCATAAACCGACTGTGACGGGCAAAGGATAACATTTTTCCTTTTCTTTTAAGTTCTGAGACCGTGCAGTATTGCACTCCTTTAATGTGCTAAGTCGGGCCGTGATGGGCTGGACTAAAACGCAGCCCAAGCCCACACAATTGCGTGGAAATAGGATTCCAGATCTCCTTAGTAAGGTTTCCTTCGAGTTGGATTGGCTTTTAGGCGAAGGCTAAATGTCACCGCCCACAGTGCGCCATACACGATGATCCTACTAAAGAAACCCATCTTCCTCGCTGTCTCGTTTCTTTTGCGTGGTTTGGCATTGTGTTTCGTCTTTATTTTCTTGGTGGATAATGTCTCACAGCCATTGGAACCACCAAGAAGAAGAAGAAGAAGAAGAAGAAGAAGAAAGCGTCCCTGCGCTGTCAATGCACAATTTCTAGGATCTGTCATAAGGGAGGTTGAGTGTAGTACAAAGTGTAAATTTTATTTGTTAGGGTATGTAGTTCTAAAATATATTATAAATATGATTAGATTTTAATTAGAATTATTGATCAATAAAAAATAATTATTATTATAAAAAAATTTATAAGATAATTTTATAGAGAAGATTTTTTCTAAAAGTATAAGAAATTATTTTATATCCTTTACTCTCGTCTGTAAAATTATAAAATCTCCTAGGGACTTAATATTAATATTTGAATATATGATATTATTAGGAGATTATATATCTTCTTTCGTCTTTTCTTAGTCATGTGAACCAATTATAAATATTCTTTCATCTTCCTTTTATCTCTAATTCATACTTATGGTGATCATATGGAAGATTAGAAGAGAGGAGAAGATGAATCTAGTTATCCTTTTATATCGATATCGACATCACCGTAGCTTTCGGATCTAACAACGATATGTCTATCTATCAAATAAAAACTTTCCAAATAACATTAAAAGATACATATCGTTAAATAGATATATTATTATTTGATTTTAGATTTTAAAATTAAAGTTTTTTGCATTAGCATAAGAATGATTTTTATGCTTATAATTAGTATCAAAGCTATTTTTATGAAATCAAATATTATATATATATTTGTTAGCACTTTTTGCTGGTGTAAAGGTATTGTTCGGTTATTTACGATGCATTAACGATTCATTTATATTGTTGATTTTCTTTTCTATCCGGTTCATCATATCACTTGTTTATGGTTGATATAAGGTTTCTTGTGCTTGATTGATAGACCACTATTACAGCTTATTGTCGATAATAGTATTGTTGAGGTCGACAACCTTCGACGGTCACCAGCTCAATCACGGGCAACAATTATATATGTAGTGAAAGTGTTGTAGATTATAACATTCTTATGACAAGCATGATGAGTGTGATGACTGTGGTTGTTGCGCAACACCATCTTGTGCAGCAATTGCAGTAACGATATTGTTTGCGATGGCTTCGATCACTACCGCCACATAAATCAAATAATTTTTTTTTGAATAACTTGGAAAGATATATCTTAAAATAGATTTATTATTATTTAATTTTATATGTTAATATTAAAATATTTTACATAATAGTATCGATCGTTTTGATACTTACACTACTCTCCCTAATGCTAACATAGCTTGAGCTTCGAATAACAAGACTATTGTAATCGAGATTACAGTAAACTATTTCTAACCAAAGCTTCCGCTGTCACGTAATCCACAAGTTTGTTTCCTCCAAGTCAGAGATGAACGTTGATTGAGATGAAGTGAACGATCCAAACACGTAATCTTGTCACACGAAACGATTGGCAGAAGCCTTGAGAAATTAGATCGATGCACCCAATTGTTCTTGACATTTCTTTCATCTACATGCTTAATGTGTCAGTGATAAGGGCAAAATGACGACACAGACTTTAAGAAGGATGGAGACAGTAGTCAATTGGTGCTCGTGAAGAAGACGGTGCAGATTCTTTTATGCTTTGTGTTACATGTTTTTGGACCTCTTCGTCTCAGGTTTTCTCAGACATGAATCAACATTACTGATAATAATATGATTATTAGAATGCAAAGTGAATAAAGTTTCAGTGACAATATCACTAGTGACAAAAGAAGACAGATCATGTCTTCGAGTTTTTAGACGAAGTAACAGTGATCTAAACTGAAGTTGGTCGAATTGAGATATGATCTGCTGCACCTAAATAAGAATTGAGGGTTGTTGAGCTTCCTCGCCATCAGATTTGACGACGAACGAGGGAAAACATTTATTGCTTCTAAATTTCAAGCATTCAACGCTTGTTTAGCTTTGAATAATCCGAGCAAGGAAACATTCGGACGAGAGATCCGGTGAATCCAAAGTTGGATTGCGTGGGTCCCAGTGGTGACATGGTACCAGCTCAGGTGGATGGGTACGTAGACGACCTAATCAGAGCCTAAGTTGGAATTCTTAGCTTATTTTATATGTTTTTTGTTTGATTTTTTTTATTATGTTTCTTTTGACGACATGCTCCTTTTCACTTTCTCGTCTTCCACTTGTGAGAGCATGTCAAGGTGCTGACTCCGATCGGAAGGAGGCCGAGTTGACATACACGATCTTAGCGCAATTGATTGGGTGGGATGACGAGGTTGATTACTCCCGACTCTCCTTCTTGGAAACTGCGGAGATTTGTGGCAGGTAGGACTGAGGTAGACATGGCAACGATAGAGGATTGTGGATGGTGCAAGTGACTCCTTTTGAAATGGTGGATGATGCGATGATAATGGTGATGGTGGCAAGACTAATATGACGTTGTTAATGGCGAGAAGAACACAAACATGACAAGTTAGGTGAAGCGACGAGTTTGATTTAGTGAGAGCTAATATTATTACTTTCGATTAGATTTGATATAATTATTATTTTCGATTAATCGTAAGGCCACATGTGGAGTGTGGGATATGATACATATGATACCCTAAGAAAATATTATTTTAATAATTATAAAATTAATTCTATATATAGCTATATATATTCATTCTAAATTTATTAAATTAATTCTAAATATTATTTTTACAGGCAACCAATAAGTCGAAATAGATCCGACATAATTTTTTATAATAATAAGATAAAAGATCTCGACTTAGAAAACGAGATAGATTAGAGTCAAAATTAATATTTATTTTTTTAAAAAAAAAATCATAGAGATCTTTTATGGATACAAAAACAAAATATTAAACACCATAATCCCGAATTAATTACAAAATATTAAAAAAAATATAATTAAATGGAAGCTCAATTCAAAAACATCAATCACAATTTCCAATGTCTTTGTAAGCTGTATAGCCAATAAACTCCTTGATTTGGTAATTTTAGGGCATAACATACATCAAAATTCAGTATCCAAATCAAGGAAGGAACAGTTAGGTAGGTAGGTAATGTTAGTTTGGATTAAGTTGCTGTAGAACACACTTGTGTAATATCTGATTATTAAATTAATAAGAATTATGTCATGCAAGTTTGGTGAGCAGCCATTGTTCTTTCATGTCCAAACTTCCAAGGGTACATATATTGCACCAAATGTTTCTAACCTAACTTTTGGATATAAATCATATGATTTCTGTCGATCAAATACAATGTGAAACAATGTAGGCGTATCCCCAAAATCCCTAACCCTGCAGAAAGCTAATACAACTGTAAACTATAACAACCAAGAATACTAGATTGGAGTGACCCTGAAAATTTTCAGGGGTGATGTGGTCTATCGTGAGTGGGCCCTCCAGTCCTGACGAACAGGACCTTGACTTCGTTGACCCACGCCAGATCGTGTCTGTGAGAGACTACATCATTCGAGGAAGAAGAAAGAGATGAAACAGGAAGGAGGCGGCTCTGAGCCCGGCAATCTGAGCTTCGCCTGTGATCAGCTCGACGAAATCTTTCGTCTCCATCGTATGAACGAGACATCAAGTGGTGTCCCGGACTACCCACCAATCGCTGCTGCCTCCTATTTAGTAGTAGTTGTAGTAGTAGTAGCGCTTTACAAGCCAAGATGCATAGCGAGAAGAGCAAAGGAGAAGGCGAGAAGCACGGCGGCGATGCGTGGCACGGTGGCCGTGGCGTGGCTCGCTTGCTCCCCGCCGATGTAGACCATCGTGCTGTTGCTACTCGACGGAATGCCCGCTGCCTCCGGATTCGTGTCCGAAGATTTCTGGCTGTCAAAAGAAAACATATAAGATCAGTAACGTTAAGAGAATCGGCTTGAAACACTTGATTCATCGTACATGAAATAATAAAGACTATGGAGGGCAGCTGCCGAGAAAAGGACAGATGAAAGAAGGTGAAGGTCCAGTGTTGTTGCCCCCACCCCGCCCGCCCGTCGGCCTTAGGTGTCCGACTCTGTTTTGTCGCCAAGAAGATTGCTCGTGGTGTCTGACCGACCTCAACCCAACCCCCACAACCCAAAAAGGTTGATTAGGATTTTGCTGGGACTTGAAGTTGGGGCAGTCGGCAGGACCAGAGACACACTGTGGTGCAGTTTTCTGCACGCTAACAGCGTGCGTGCATCGCTTGCACAGCCAAAAAGCCACGCTTGCCGCGTTCGCCTAACTCTCCTTTTTGACATCCATGGCCACAAGATTGAGGTCATACAGTGGCTCTCAAGCTACCTGGTGCCACTCTTGACAGCCTATACAATAGTTCTTTGCGGGTTGCACGCTCTATCCCGAAGAACATAGAAGGAAGAAGAAGAAGAAGAATTAGGTTTACCTTGTGGTGCTGGGGCAGAAAGTGATGAGGTAATTAGCGGAGGCGCAGGTAAAGGTGGAGGTGGCGTCGTCGTAGGCGTAGCTGTAGGCCTTGGGACAGGCGTTCTTGAAGAACTGCGAGTACGACGATGGCTTGCACGTGTTAGGGTTGCCGTAGTCACCGCTGCAGCAGAACTGGGGCGACCCGAACGCCTCGCACGCGCTCTTGCACGCCACGCTCTCGCTCCCCCCGTCGGAGGTCGACAGCATCACCTTAAGGTCCGACGGGCACAGCCCGTTGAGGTCCACCAGGCACCCCGTCGAGCTGCAGCTCCCGCCAGAGCCTCCCTGCGGCACCACCAGCATCGGGAGGTTGTAGCCGTCCACGAGGCTCACGTCGTAGAAGTCCATCCCACCGCTGCCGTCGAGCGTGAACTCCGCCAGGGTGGCCGGGGGTGCCGCGCCGCCTCCGGAGCACTCCACCCCGCCGGACCCGCAGTCGCCGGTGGCGCAGCTGAACCTGCCGCTGGAGTCGGTGGCACAGAGGGTGCGGCCCCAGAAACGCCCCGACCACGTGGTCGGCGCGTCCAGGCTGCGGGACTCGCCCGTCTGCAGCTGGAAACCCGTCGTGGACAGCGCAGGCGTGCCGGCGCTCGAGAGCATGCCAGGCCACACGGGGTACTCGCAGTTGTTCGTCAGCGTGAACGTTGCGGCCATCCCCCCTGAAAACAGAGACAAAAACATGTTGGAAATACAGTATAAATAACAGAGAAACAGATCCAGAAATCCAAAAATTAAAGCCAAAGAAAACCGAATCACCTGCAAAGGATAAGAAAAGGGATGAGAGAATGACTGAGAATCTGGCCATTTTGACGCCGCAAAAGGGTGAGACCTCCGCACACACCGTTGGAAAAGAGTTGGGAGTTCGGGGGGGGGGTTGTACTTCTGCAGCAGGTGGGACGGCGGGCAATTTATAGAGGAGTTCTGGACACGAGAAGGATGTTGTGGGTCCAAATCTTTCGTCAGGAGAGAGCCCTCAGAGTACGGTTTTTCTCTCCTCTGCTGCTCGGCTGCCCATGGAACGGTGATTAACCCGTGCGCAGGCGTGTTTCGTTCACAAGACAGTGAGGGTGTTGACTGATTCGCGCGGCTGCGTCGACGGCGTGGTCAGGTTCGACGCACCAATAGAAACTTGTCGGCTCTCCGGTTTCCGATGTGGATATGACAACGCATGACACGGAAGAAGCAAAAGCCGCCTTGGCCGTGGGAAGTCGATAGTCCACGTTCAACACAGGACGCCGCTTTGAAACTCCCACACACACACACGTTAGTTGACCCTCGTGATTTCTATTTCTATTGCGTCTTCACTGTTCAAACAGGCACATTAATATTTCCCACGGATTACGACGATCTCGATTACCTTAGTGGCGTTACCACTTACGGTAGATCGTCCAGGAAGACGGTCGATGTTAGTTCCAGCAGCACACACAGATCGTCGAATCAGATTTGACCGACTGGATAACACTGCTACTAATAAAAGGTCTTACGGTATGAATACAAGAACCGGACACGCGGCTTGTGTGACACGAGTGACCGGTATTGTACCATGTTTACGTCTTCTGTCACGATAAAAGCCTTCTTACTTTTTCACGCGAATCAAATCTTCAACGCCCGGCTTTTTGGAATAGCGATAAGATAAGTCAAAAGTGTCCGATCTCTATCGAGTCAACATAATATTTCAATTCTTGCTATTAAATTGTATAGTCTGCACGTGTCTTTCGTGGGCTATTTGGCTCGAGGACTTTAGCTTTCCTCCATAAGTTCTGTACAGAAAAATATTGACGGTGTAATTGATAGCAAAATAAAAATATTGTAGTAAATCGTATCAGTTTAAATCAATGCAAGCTTTTAATCTAATCCTGCAGATGGATTGTAATTGTAGGCTTCTTGCGCACTGCTCCGTTTCGCCGTCTTGTTTCTTCGGCTGGGAAGAAGAACATCCACTTGTGTTTTGAGCATACAAAGCATGCCCAGAATCTGCAGCATGGTTTTTCATGTGCTAAGTACTTTGTTTGCAAGCACTTTGGCTATTTCTCTTTGAGAAAGATTCGTGGAGTCCAAGTCCTCAGTTAGTCAGCCAGCATTCGATCCTAGAAAAGATCGATTCCTTCCCAAAGGAGATGCACCGATCAATCCATCGGAGATGGACGCACATATACGAAATGTGATAAGCACGTATTTGTATTGCTTACGGTGAGAGTCGTATTTAGAAATATAATATTGTTATTCGAAATAATAAATTGAATTGTTAGGGAAGCAGAGGCGCCGCCGGAAATTTCGGAAGGAGACGTTCTTCCGTGAGTCAACGACGTGCAGGTCATCCACAGGCTGTGGAGAGTGCCAACATGGTGGATTTCGTTTTGTTCTGCTGTTGGCAGGAACGGCAGGCGTCGAGTAGAGGCGAAGAAAAAAAGAAGGCACCAAGTGAGGAAGAAGAAGCCATGAATAGCAATCGATTTCCTTCTTCAAAGGGGACAATGGATGAGAATTTAGTAAAGAAAGGACGTGCTCGCCTTAAAGCTCGGAGGTTTTCGCGGCTTCAAGAAGTCCCGCGAGCGATGTCATCCCTTTCTCCCTGCAATTCGATCTCAATGCTCACCTATTCTTTCCGGCGGACGCACTGGATGGTTGCTCCCCGATGAAGCTCGGGGCATTGCTCAAATTGCCGATTGGCGATGCGCGCGCGAGTTGCCGAGGCGAAGACGGGGCATGCCAAGGAATGACCGGCCCGGACACGGACGCCGATATGGGTGAGCATATGCTGCACTTTGGTTCACGACGTTTCCCTCTTTGTTCTCCCCCTGTAACTTTGGGATGCGTTCAGCTAAGAGGCGGTCAGAAGTGATCGAGTGGCTCAACAGTTTGTTCCCCGGCCTCGACATACCGGTCGACGCGTTGGAGGAGGAACTCAGAGCGCGGTTGCTCGACGGAGCTCTCTTGTGTGGCATCCTCAAGAGGTTTAATCCAGACTACTCGGGGGAGGTTCAGACCTCAACATCTCTGACGTTTGATCGTAATGTAGGATTCTCCTTTGGTCTTAGCGTGAACTATGGTTGCAGATCAGGACGGAGAACCGTTCAGAAAACATAAGGAAATTTATTGCTGCTGTTGAACAGGCGGGACTGCCCAGTTTCAAGGTTTCAGACTTAGAACAGGTAGAGAATCACATGTTCTAGGCGACTAGCATCACTGTTACTCTTCAGCTGATGAACTAAACGTGGACTGCATCATTCTGGAACCAGGGACCAGCGTCTGCAGTAGTGTACTGCCTTTGGTCTCTTAAGGATCACCTCACGTCCGACACCGGAGAAAACAGGGATCTGAACTCTCCGGCGAGGAGCGTAGGTGAGGCAAGAATAGTAAGGTGGAAATCTCTGGAGAGCAGGATTGACGCTCTAAGAGGGGATACCACCTTAAACGGGCAAAGTTCTGCTATCTTTGGAGAGGAGAGAAGACACAGCTTTCATGACTCGAGGTTACAACGCCGCCTGCGAAGTCCCATCATGTCTGGTATGTCAATTGTTTTGATTCTTCAGCTACGTGAAACCACTGAAGGAAGATATCCTGATTTGATGTAGCACAGTTTGAGACAAACTTGAATTTTGATCTGCGTCTTGTTTGTGTGAGTAATTTTTCCAAGACTAATTCACTCCCCTAATTAAGGGTAAGAATCAAGCTGGGTTCTAAACAGTAGAACTGTTAACATTGTCTCAGAGGCCTCTGTTTGGGACATTGTTTGAAATGCTTCTGCTTACTCCCTTTTACTGCGATTCTTGTTCATATGCAGAACTCAATCTTCATTGTTCATAGATGTACTTTCGTATATTATCTTTGTGATCATCAAGTCTATGGAAAAGCTGGATATGCTCATTTGGAATCAAACATGTTGAGCTTACTATCATGTTACAATGTGAGAGGTTAGATGTAAATGTCATTTATATTCTGGTAGAAAAATAGTTCAGATGGTTTCAAATTGATGATGATCTCAGTAGTGCACCGGTGAGGGTATCCAGTGGTAGGAACTTCAAAAATCCATACATGTATCCTTCTTGTGTTCTTCCTTTAGCTTAACATTATTGTTTATCCATGTCATTGCAATGATGCAATTAATGAAGCCATTATGGTAAAGGATCAACCTGGCAAAAGTTCTGTCATGTTATCCAAGCAGTAGAAGCTTGTCTCAAAGAATCAATGTTATGATGGTAGAAGCTCTTACTGATAAGTCCCATATGCTACCAAATTTTCTTCAACCAAGTAAAGTTGGAGCCTTATTTAATTGGAACAAAAACATTTGATCATGTAGCATTCATCTGAAATCAGCATGATACAAGTGATGCTGCATTATAGAACTGCTATATTCTTAAGAGGCATAGCATTTCTGATTCTTTTCTCTGCTAAAAGAATCTGAGAACATTCATCATGTTCATAGGTCATGATATTACTTGCTAATAGCTCTGAAAATGTTGCATATTGTCCTTGAGTTGTGCAATTTTACTGTAAACTCACCTTTCATTTCCTCTAGAGCCATCAACTCCCCCAACTCATCATGTTGGGCATAAATTCCATGAGGTTTTCCAGCTAAAACAAGGGCGTTATTATGATCTTCCTGCGGCTAAGATCTCGGAGATGATGAAATCAAACAGTTTAGATGTAATTACTCTAATTCATTAACCATGTCACTTTTACTTTCTTTATTTCTCATTATCATTTTCTGGTTCTTCACATTTGAATGTCTTGTCCGTAGAATGCCCCCACTCAGTCTCTTCTAAGCGTTGTAAACGGAATTCTCGAGGAAAGTATCGAGAGGAAAAATGGAGAAATACCTCAGGTATGTAACTCTATATGAGAGCATTTCCTGTGTGCCAAATACATATAATGTGCCAGTGTGTTCTTTTACAAGTGATATCGATCTTTTCTGGCTGCTGATATCCTATATGGAGAAGTAGAACACAATATTTTGTCCCGACCTTTGATTTCCTTGTGCTCATCTCCCAGCGAGTAGCATGCTTGCTGAGAAAAGTTGTGCAAGAGATCGAACGGCGTATTTCAACTCAGGCAGAGCACATACGAAATGTGAGTCAAGATGAGTCCGCATTTATTCTGCTTCCTAAACATGTTATTTATGAATTCCTCACCTGTTCATAGCAAAACAATCTCATAAAAGCACGCGAGGAGAAGTACCAGTCGAGGATTAGAGTGCTTGAAACGCTAGCCAATGGTACACCTGATGAAACACAGGTAGTCTCAATAGGTGCAGTGATCATCTCCTGTGGATTTGCAATCCATACTTGTCCCTGCAATGCCATGGTGAAATGATTCTTGCCCTCCTTTCTGTTTCAGATAGTTATGAACCAGCTTCAGCTGCTTAAGGTCTGCTTCTCATCTGTCACTGCTTAATTCATAATGACTGTTCTTTTGCTTGCCATCTCTACAAGTTTCAATTCCAGAAAAGAACAATGATAGTAATTGTATATCGATGATGAACTAACCTACGTGATGGTAATTGCTTCATGAACAGCAATTACAACTCTTTTTACCTGTTCAAGTTTGGTCATTGTCCATCTGCAGACAGAGAAGCACAAGATCGAAGAGAGAAGCAAAGTTGGTGAAGAAGACATGGTTAAGCTGACGAAGGAGAAGGAAAAGAGTGACAAGATAATTTCAGATCTTACCCAAGAGTTGGAAACCATAAAAAGGACGTACGAAGATCAGTTTCCGCAGATGGATACAAAAACAAAGGAATACCAAATTGAAAAGCTGGCGAAGGAGAA